GAAGAGGGGGGAAAGGAAGCATGAAGAAGGAAGAAAAGAAGAAACAAGGCCAAACAATAAGTCCCCTAGAAAAGACTTTTAAATCAACGCTAATGAAGGATATACCATGCTAACACTAATCAGAAGAAAGATAGGCTGACAGTGTCAGTCAACTTAAGGCAATGAAAGTGATCAGAGATAAAGGGAATATTGCACAGTGATTCATGTGGACAGAGAGGCTCCCTAGGTTATGATAATTGAGCTGGGACCCAATGGAGCAGGTGTTCCAGCCCTCATCAAATGTGAAGCAGGGAAGACAGAGAGGACAAAGTCCTGAGGTAGGCCTGAGCTTCAGGAGTGAAGAAAGAAAGCATCCTGTGTGGCCAACATCAGAGAGGTAGACAGGAGGGGGCTGGCAGGCCATGCAGAGCCTCCTGCGTCACAGTGGAGTCTGGACCAATATTTTGACTTTGATGACCTTGAGAAAAGCAGCAGGCCACTCCAGTCTTCATCATTCATTTCTCTGTAAAAATGGAGATATAGAAGAGCTGGGAGAATCATATGTTCTATGTTAAAGCACTAAGCTCAGAACTTGGCCACAGCCACTTTACTCATCATCAGCTCAGATATTCCTGAGCTTTTAAAACCCCTTGTCTATGGTTAATATAATCTCTTAACTAATTAAGACATAGGTTAATTATGTATGTAGGGCAAATTAAGTGATCATCCTACATAAGACATTCATTGAGGTGCCATGTTGTTTCCCAACAGGACTTGGAAATTATTTACTGTGTCTACTCCAGGCTCTGCATAAAAGTTTAAATCTGTTTTCTCTCATCTTTCAGGAAACCAGCACAAATTCAGCAAGCTATTTGCTGAGAAGCACAGTCCTTAGAGAGTTCCCCTTAAAGAGGGCTGTATTCTCTTGAACACATCTTGTTTCCCCTTGTCACATCCTACCCTGAAGCACAGAACATGTGAAAAGTGCTGTGAATATAACATGTTGTGTTTTTCACAAATTTTTTTTATTATTTTTCCCAAACAGAAAAATCATCTTCTAAAACTAACTTTTTAATTGATTTATCTATCTCCCATTTCAGTATCTCAGGTATAGATACCTAAGTGCAAATATCCCCTTTCAGTTATTAATTTCTGTGGGATTGTGGTCTTCCCCAAGTGGAAATGGGAAAGCTGTGACTAGACACTGAGTCATAGCTCTCACAGGTAGAGGTACTTACAGGTGATATGTTCCAACCATACCAGGAAGCCCTGGACAAGTGTCCTGCTCTTGGACATCCCTGGAGCAGGTCCAGCCCCTGGTCTGCATGGTTTTACTTACCTTGAAGCTACTCTCTAATAGTAATACTTCTTTATTCCCCAAATGGTATATGGTTCTTTCATCATTGTTCATTTGTTCATTAGTACTTTTTGTTTTGCTTAGAAGATTGGTGAGAAATGTGGAAAAATATATTATCTGTAGTTCTAATCAACCCTTTAAAAGTTCTGTTTAAGTCCAGATGAAGCATTATTCTTTAGAGCAGCTGGAACCTCTTTTTTTGGCGGGGGTGGGGGGAGTAGGGAGTTATCCTTGACTAAGCATTTAAAGGGAAAGCTATTTTAGTCTGTCAAGCCACTAACAGCTCTCCACGAGTCCATGCAGATGCTCTTAATGGCCTCTCTACTTAACCTCTACTTCTAAAGGTATTTCTAAATTCACAGTTGTGGTGATCCTTACCATATTCTTAAGCTTCCTAACAATTGTGTTCACTATGGAGATTGCTCTTAATCTCCCAGATCCTTTCTTTACACCCACCATTCCATGTTGCAAGCAGACATTCTCCTAGTATAAAAGCATGTATTCTCTCTCTACCTGATGTTGCCATTTTGTCTCTGGCCACCTAACTTTCAAGGACCAAAAATTATATCTGCAGCCTCTATATGTAGATGCATAGTAATGAAGGCTTCTTAATATTTGTGTGCTTCAGAGTATCCATCCTGTATCCACATGAAAGACAAACATGAGATTTTCAGCAAGAACTCAAATCAAAAACCTTACATTACTGTCTGCTTGCATGATCAAGTCAGTGCCAAAAAGCCAGACACAAAAATCATGTCCATATCTGTATTATGTGTGCAATATCTGCATCATTGTGATGTACAACTGGCCACCTAGGAAAGAAGGCAGATTGTAGCATGAATTGCATCTCAGTAAGCCCATATGTGGCAGCAGCCTGATTCTGAAAGTTCAGGGTTGTCTGTGAAACATTCGCCCAGCTCTGGTTGAAAGCATCAGAATGTTCCAACTGGGTCCTTGGAGGGTTAGTTCTTATGTGTCAAGTAGAGATCTGTCCCAAATATTGTCCTCACCCTAGCAGCTAGATATATCCTTAGGCTGATATGCTTGACAATGTTAACGGGTGCCATGAACTTGGGGATGACTACTTCTCTGTGAAAAGCTGCCTTTGTGTTCACAGCTGGCCAATAAGAGAACTTGGGTGTGAAAAATGGCCTGCTCTGAACCCCAGCCTGATGGGTATACTTTCTAGGTATGTGTTTCTCCTCAGCCGGAGCTATGTATCATTTAGTCATGGAAGACATGGCAGGAGCTTCATAGGTATCTTCCATCTTACAGCTAGCCGGTAAGGAAAGCCAACTTGTTAACAGTTGTGGAAAAATCTTAATACCCAGGCTTTGGTCATATACTAAGGTAAGACACTCAGGAGTAGTTCAGAAGGTTTAGATGGATGAAACATTTGAATCCAGGTTCTGATCAGGACTCCAGATGTAGTCTTTCATTAACTTTACCATTGAGTATGAGACCAGGAGGGGGCGCCCCAGGAGCTCTCTGTTCCCTGTCCCCACTATGCAACAGCAGCACTGTTTTGGGTAGGACCACTCACTCAGACCCTTCTGTCAGTATACAGTGATCCCAGAGCCCAAAGTAGCCAGTCGCCATTGAGGAGAATGCCCTATCTTCTAATAGGAGTGCTGCTGCAGTAAGTTCCCCAAAGAAAGCAGACAAGCATCAGAGGAACAGAAGAACAAAGTGGAAGACCCCGCCCACCTGTCTCCTTAGACCTAGACTTCTAATTACAAAATTTCCACCCTCTTGGGGATCACTGGCTCCAGGGATATGCCACATCTCACAAGTCAGCATCACCAGCTCACAGGGTCATATGTCCCAATGGTCAAAACTCTATAAATGACTTTTCAGTGATGATCGTACAGGGCAGGAAAGTGTGACTCTTCCCTTTGGCTCCATGGGTCCTGTGTGAACTGCTCTACTATCTCATCTCATGCTACAGCTTAGAACATACTTCCCTACAGCTAAAGCAAACTCCTACCCCATTCTTCCTAAGGAACATCTTTACTTCCTGGAGCCTCTGTCATCTCACCATGCACTGCACTGGGCCCTTGAATGAATCTGTAAGAGGAAGTGACAGTGATGTTGAGTCTTCTTGTCAGATATAACAGAAAATGTGCACATGTGCCTCCATGCACAAACATGTATACATGCCACATACACACAAATGTAGGTTAGGTGGTGGTCTCCACTTCCCTAAAACCCTCTTAAGGCTTCTGTCTTCCTTGGAGTAGAAATTGAGAATTCTTATGATTTCCTACAAGGCTCTTCTTGTTTCTTGCCTGACTTCTCTCCCTCCTGGTCTTCCTTCTACTAATTTGGCTCTGACTGCTGTTACTCTCCTGCTTTTGCTTAAACACACTAATCCCACTCCCATCACAAGCTGAACCAACCTGTTGTTCTTTGTGGAATGTGCTTCCACCCATTGTCCTCATAGCTCCTGGTTCATTCTTCTGTCTTGTATAGACTTGTTGGCTTTTCAAGACAGGGTTTCTCTGTGGATTTGGAACTAGCTCTGTAGTCCAGGCTGGCCTCAAACTCACAGAGATCCGCCTTCCTCTGCCTCCCAAGTGGTGGGACTAAAGGCATGTGCCACCAATGCCGGGCTTGTATAGACTTTTAATGAAATATCTTCTGTTAATGTTAATGTATTTGGAGACACACATCCACCTGAAAGTCCTTTGCTCTTCTCTGCACTTTCTGTTTTACATGTCATATACTGTATATGTTTAACTGTTTATCTTCTGAAATCTGTAATAAACTTTGAGTTAAGTTATAGCAGATTTGTGTGTGTATGTTCTTCACATGTCCCTTTAGTGACTAGGTTAGAATAAAAGGTCTATCATATAATATATAGTGTAAATTTATGATAAGTCAAGAGAAATTGTAGGTGTATATAAGAGTTACTATTCCGTTCCAGTCCCAAAGCTCACAGAGCTGACAACCTCCATATTAATGAGTGGAATTAATGAAACTCTAATAGAGGGAAAAGGAAGAGAAAAGAAAAAAATCCAAAAAATACATCCATGATCTCTATGGTTTACCCATGTGGTGGAAATGGATCTAACAAAAGAAAGCCAAGAATCTTTTAAAAATGGAAGGGAGGCAGGGCGTTGGTGATGCAGGTCTTTAATCCCAGCACTCGGGAAGCAGAGGCAGGCAGATCTCTGTGAGTTCGAGGCCAGCCTTGTCTACAGAGGGAGTTTCAGGACAGACTCCAAAGCAATACAGAGAAACCCTGTCTTGGAAAAAACAAAACAAAACAAAAATGGAAGGGAGTGAGGATGATGCAGGGTCTTGGAAGCAGAGGATGGAAAATTCAAGAAATTGAAGACTATAAATAGGAGAGTGGAGTAAAGTGCATCTGTGACTCTTGCATTGTACCATGGCATAGGCATGCAGAAAGAATAATGCCCCTTCTGTGAATGACAGTGCAGGGTGGTAGGGGGAAACTTGATTGTTTACAGAAAGTTCTTGTGGCAAAGCCTGGTGGGACAACCCACTGGTCTTTGACTTGAAAGCTCTCAACTTGCTCTGAAGAGGTTTGTCTGCCTGGATGACAGCCTCTGTATTCATCCCCAGTCTTCCACATAGAGCATAGGTTCTCTGCCTTAACTGCCGCTGGGTCTGAACGTAATTTTTCTGCTATGAATCCCAGGTTCCGTTCTTTGGGCCTCTGTTCGATGGAGCCATTGTGAGTGGGAAGCTGCTGCCAAGCCTTATCTGTGCCACCTGCATCAATGCCAGCAGAGCGGTGAAGTGCCTCATCCCACTCTATCAGAGCTTGTATCTTTTTGCTGTAAATATGTAACTTATTAACCCTCCCCAGAATGAGAGTCCTGGCAAGCTTTCAGGAGAGGTAAGTGGGCTTCTGCCCAGGCTGTGATACTCTTGGTTGATTTCTGTGAAATACAATGATATTGTGCTGCAGTGAACATAGTGTTTGTTCTCCTAGTTCACAAGTCTTTGTCTAGAGGCTGTAACTGTCATGATGCTCAAGCTCATGGCTGCTGGGGTTTTTCCCAGATTTAGTCTCTTCTATCACATTCCACTGTGTAGAAAAAGGAGTATGTAGCAAATCATGGCAAGTCTCATTCAGAGCACCAGAAAATAAAAGCAAATGAAAGGACTGATAAATCAAAAACGGTACACAGTGCCTGAGAAATGCAGGAAGGAGAGATTAAATGCCGTCATAGAGGAGAGGTAAGGGAGTCTCTGAATCAAGTTGTACCTGGATTCATCAGTAAGAGTGGAAAGAATTTTTTGCTTGTAATTTTCTCTAATCATTAATATTTCCTCTTTTAATTTCTGACCTCATCTCTGAAAACAGAAGAATTTTTATGTTTCTAATTTTTCTTTCAAGCATTACTTGACAGTGTTATCTTTAATCCCATGTGATCTCTAACTATAAGAAAAGAAAAGATTAAGATGAGTGACTTCATAAACCAGTACAAAAACCATCTGACTTCCTAATAAAACTTAGAATTTCTTTGTTTCTAATTGGTATTGATAATGATTAAAAACATATTCTGTTTGACCTCTTTCTAGACTTCTCCCAGCCTAATTGTAAGTGATGTATTATTAGTGGGTAGAGGGTGAGTAAGAAGTAACATGTAAAGAGATACAATTTGTAACAAATACCTTTCATTAAAATATTGGTCATTCAGTTGACTACTATCCTGCCTTTAGATTTTAAAAAGTACATATGCCATGTGGCAACTTAAAATTATCATAGAAATTAGTAGTAGAAAAGAGCTATTAGGTCCCATCTGGTCCTACCCCCAGGGACAGGCTACATTATTCCCTCCAGTGAACTCTCCTCCTTTGTCCAGGCTGGTAGGGAGTGTTTGGAGGCAGCTCTCTGCAGAGACTTCCAGAACACCCCAGATGTAATCTACAGCTGCTGCCATTTCCACCTATAGTCTAGAGTTTTTATTTTACGTAAACTGTAGCTTACAGGAACTTCTTGGAAAAGAGAAAGACCTATCCAATAACTGCTCTGTCAGTCAGTGTCTGAACTGGGATGAGCTAGACACCTGTGAGTCAAGGATGCTGGACAGATGCAACAAAAGTCCTTTGAAACAAGTACATCCTATTTTGTAGAAGTCCACTGTAATTTTTTTTTTAATCCTGTTACCCTCTCCACTTAATCAAGCACATCACAAAATAAAAGCTTTGTCATTTTGCTGATAACTAGGTGCCTTTGCAGCCGTCAGATTTAGGGAGAATAGTAAGTTCAAAAGATAATGATCAATATCTCCTTAAAAACCTCAAGGAAATTGCATCATGCTTGTGGGTGCCAGTACCCAAAAAATAGCTCATAAAATAGACGATTTGACATCTTAGAGGACAACATAGTATAAAAAGGGAGAAAACTGTAACAAGTTTTATATATTTATCTCTTTTATATACTCTTCAATAAGTTATTGTAATAAATGATCTAAAACAGTAAATCAGATGACAAACACAAATTTTTATTCAGATGTAGTAATGTGAGAAAAACTTTTTGATCATATGGTGACTATTTCTGTCAGCAAAACTGCTAATACTCTACTCAGAAACAAGAAATATAATAAAAATGAGGAAATGGTAGAGAGAAAGGGGGCTTTTTATACTTTAATCATCCTCATTAAGTTTTACAACCATATACATGTGCCTTTGCCAACTGATCCCATAATGTTCACTGGAATATTGAAGTCCCCAATGTGCTCTGGGGAATATCTGAACTGCTTCAGTGTCATAGCTGATGTCTGGAATTTGCTGCTTCATTGACATAAGTCTTATATTTGAATCTAGAAAAACGCCGAATATTCTAAGCAGTCCTAATTGTGAGTGCTAATTGCATTTCTTCCTTTCCCAAACACAGTTCTGTGTTCTGTCTGCCATCCCCAGTGCTAGAAACTAGGGTTATGGCAACACAGCAGGGATTCAGGAGCCCACTCCTTGTTCACAGGGTTTAGAGATGACACCTAAGGAGTGCACAGGCTAACTGGTTCCCTTCTCTTCAGAGAACAAGTGAAACTGAGAGTTGAGATGAACAAGACTTGGGATAAGAGAGCCCTCTCTGAGGGGAGCACACTTCAGCAGAGATTGAAGAATGAGAGGTAAATTGTTGCTAGGAGCATAGGTGACATTCTGAGCAGAAGACCCAAGATTCAGTGCTCAGGGGAAGTACATATATATTTTGCATGAATCCTATACATGTTCAGATCCATCAGGGTAACAGTGATGGACCCAAGAGTCAGGTGTGGTGGGTGTATGACATTCTAGGTGACCCCCAAAGAAGCTTCTCAGACTTCCAGCTTGCATGTACCTCAGATTTATCATCTTAGAACAGCATGCTAGTGGGTCCAACCAGGGCAGCCCAATAGACAGTGGATAGGCAAGGGCTGGAGGTACTACCACACTGTCTAAGCCTGTGCAGACCCTAAGGGCTGAGGATATTAGCAGTGCCTTGGATGTATCTTGATCTAGTGCCACTGGCTTAACCTTACCAATGGAAAACAAGCATGTAGTGGTCCTTTTCAAAGAGAGGAGAAGGCATCTTGAAAGGCCCTGAAATATAAAGCACTCTCCATTTTTCTGCTGTTTCCCAAGTTTGCTATTTACCAACACTCAAAGAAGTGTTAAATTTTAAATTATAAATTATTGGCATTGATTTTTATCATTCTAAGTTATATAATACTAATTTGATAGCAGATCTATGAGCTCTAAACTTATCATCTGGAATCAATGGGATTTTGCAATTCATATGCCATAGCTCATGTGTACATATATGGTTTGTTCTTAGGAAACACACTGAACAAAACTATTTTACCCATACATATTTTGTTCTTCCTGTATAAGCATTCCAGCATTCCTCTCCACCTTTAGTTTGCTGCGGAGCAAGGAAGAATGGTAGGCAGAGAAAGCTAGGTCACACTGTAATCCCTTTCCTTCTGTGGTAGTTTGCAGAGCAAATGATTGGCTCCTACAAGGGAGTAACATAGCTAAGGGTTTGATATGGTTCTTTGTGCATGGCTCTGTGGTCATTCACTGCTGCTTTCTTTCTGCATTCAAAGCAAGTTCTGCTTTGGCAGAAGAGTGTGACCTATCAGCTTTTATGATATCTTAGTCATTGAGGAAACAGGCTCTCATGTCCAGCTGCTCAAGCCACGTGACCCTTAAGCCCTGCCTATAATCCATCCTGAAATCCCCAGTACATGTTGAGGAACTCTAAGTCCAAATGTCTGGCATTGGTAGGCCTGCATGTGGGGGTTTTGTTGTTCTTATTGTTTTCCCCTAAAGCCAGGCAATACATCCCTTAGCACAGCTGTACTGGTATGAACTCAGACTCATTAAGAAAGGAAGCAGCTTGTTTCTGCCGCCCTAGAAGAAAACTTCACTTAAAGACCAAATATCAGAGGAAGAATTACTGCTACCTTTTCCCTTGAGATTCAAGGCACAGAGTTGAGCAATAAGAATTTCCTTGTCTCCCAGGCCATTTTATATAACCACCCTGTGTCCTTGTTTGCTTCTAATACATAGATTACAGTTGTAAAATAGAACATTGACAACCTACTCATTTCATCTCAATGCCACTCACTTTTTAGGTGTCCGAATGGCCATTTTGTGCACAAAGATCATGTTTGTTAGTTCAGACCTTTGCAAACCCTTTAGGTGTGAGCACTTGCTTTTGGGGGGTAGTGACTGCACAATGACCCATGTTGAACCTGATGGCAACTGAAGCAGAGAGCCAGGGAAATTACTTGGTTATTTCTACCCTGTCCCATTTTCTCCCCAGTTGATGGATATTTAACTCCTTTAGAATAAACTTGATTGGGGTCCAGTTTTGTATAAATTTTAACTAATAGAAATGTGGACAATTAAGTGTCAATTTGGGTCAATAATGTTTTTAAAAATACACTTCTGACTAATTGGTTATTGGAAGCACTGCCTAAACAAATTTGTCTTTGGGGCTTTTTTTTTTTTTTTCAGTAAATCTAGCTTAAGGTCAATATCAAAGAAGTTCTTGTGTGAGGTTCTCTTGGATAATTGATCAAACAGTTGGAACTGTGTGGCAGAGGCACATAGACTGAAAAAGTATCATTGTCTCCCATAATAATAATGAATGTGAACATAGTAGGGCTGTGTGTAGAAAGCATCCTCCAATGGTTTTCAGCCCTTTTGTGCTGTGTGGGCTTTCCTGTAACTTCCTCAGTGGGCTGAATCAAATCTGCCAAGAATGCCTTGGTCCCGTGGCCATTGCATCACTGAGTAGTGAGAGCCAGCTCACCTACCATCTGCCTCTTCTATCACTCCCAGGCAAACAGGGCCTGTTCCTGTGCCTAGAGCACAGTGAGTGGGAAGGTTGCCACATGTTATGTTTATAGTTCCCAAGCCAACTAAAGATTCCAAAATGAAACTGTGGTCTATTGATAGAAGTTTCTACAACCATTTGAGCCAAGGACTTTCATTGCCCTTATCAGATCACTTGTTTCAGGGAAAAGGTTCCTTCACCATATGCAATGTGCCCATTAGGAGGAGTTGACCCTGAACCAAGCAGATGGTGGCTTTCTAGAATAAATGTCCACTGCCCACTTCAATAGAATGATAGTCTCGGTGGCATTTGCCATCTCTGCTCTCTGGAAGTATCAGTATTTGATGGAGAGAACTGGTGTTGTATACTTTCTTCTGTCTCATTTTCAGCTAACAGGTACATAAGCATTTGGAAATACTACAACTTCTCTCTTAGATATATATGACTTCAATACCATCACTAGATTCTGCTCCCAATTTATACAGCT